GCAAGCTTGCTTGACAGCCTCCGGGTCGTGTTTGAAATCATGCATAATATGAGTCCTTTTTGAAGCCCCGCCATTCACCATGCGAGCAGTATGTTTGCAAACAGGGGGGGGGCTGCGCCCCACCAGCCCTCCGCTTGTGCAAGCTTGCTTGACAGCATATGAGTTTTTTGTTGAAACCAACCATGAGAGCATTGTGTTTGCAAATGGGGGGGGGGCTGCGCTCCAAACCCCCCCGCTGTTTTGAGCCGTGCGCAAGCTTGCTAAACAGTGTCTGGGTCGTTTGTGAAGCCCACCATGCATAATAAGAGTCTTTGAAACCCCGCCATTCACGATGTGAGCAGTATGTTTGCAAACAGGGGGGCTGACCCTTAAAAGCCACCCTTTCAAACCCTCGAAAACAAAGCCTCAAAACCCCTGACCAACCCGCTGAAACTCTTCAAAACACTCCAAAATCGTTGAGAACCTTCTCAAACCCTCTACAAGCGCACCCTAAAACATTCTAAAATCGTCGCGCAGCCCTCTCAAACCAACAGAAAGCCTCTTGATGCCCTCGAAAACCCTTCTAAAACCCTGGAAAACGCTTTAAAACCTTCAAACACGTCAACTCCGCAACAAAAGGGAAGGAAAAAATAGATAATAAAACAATCTGCACCATTTTGCAAGGGCCGGTGATTGCAAGATGAGCAAACGAGTTGCCACAGGACGTAACCGAAGAAATGCCAGAGGGCCCTTTCGACATCATCCTCTCAAGATATGCTGCATCACAGTTGCACTACGGGTCTACTGGTAGGCAGATGCCTTCGACTTTGGTGGATTCAGCATGTAGCCAACCCTGCTTCAGCGTTTCGACCATGCCTAGTGACTTTCAGCAGGGTGCGGATTGGATGTTGCTTTCGTATCCGAGGTTTGCCTGTATCTGCAGGGCGAACAGCGAGCTCACGTCCTGGCGCAGATGGTCGAAAGGCGCACCGGGGGAGACCAATCGAACTCCGGAGTCGTTCTCGGCTCCTGCGCTTCCCTTGCACTGTCCAGCATGTGTCTGGGCAGTTGTAATTGGGGCTACTTAGCAGAAACTGTCTGTGACGGCAGGCTTCGCCCGGGAGGTTTCCTAGTGATTGGGGGCAAGGACTTCGCAACCGGCCCTTCCCTGCTGTCCGCAGAAATTCGCAGAGAGGACCATTTGCCAAATGGCTTCTGCGAGAAGAACTGTCTCATCGAGGTGGATTACCGGGCTGAGGAGATTGGCCTCGGCGACGTGAGGTGCCAGCCACCTGCCCCCCCCCCTTCGCCTAGAGAGCGATGCCAGATGTTAAAAACTCCTGTCATTGAGAGGTGCATTTTTCAGAAGTCTGGCGGCGCTGCGCTCAACTCTAAAGCGGCGGACAGGCGAGGAAGGGCTCCGAACCCCAGCAGCAAGATGTCACCCGACCTCCGATCCAGTCGCAAGACGCTGCCGCTGCCCAGCAAGCGGTGTTGACTACGAGATACTACGAGTATGCCGAGGTGCTACTCGCAGTACATCCGATCCCTCGGCAGCGAGCCGTACTGGGTGGCCGAGAGGCGGCGCCTGGAGCGCCAGCGCTTGGCTGTCCAGATGCGCCCTGGCTGCTAAGAACACACGAGTAGCACGCGACTAAGTTGAGAGCACGCTGCAGGAGCCAAAAGAGCCGCGACCTGCTGAAGCGGGCCGTGCAGGAAGGCGGGTGGAAACTTTGCGGTGATGTGCTGCCATGTGCAGCCTCTTGGACCTGCAGAGGCCGGCGGCACTGCGAGAGCCCTGTCACAAAAGAAAGCTTCCCGGCTCACATCTCTGCGATCCGAATATCTCCGAATCACATGCTCGTGCTCAGCATCGTGCTCAGGTACAGCTGGGAAATACGAGCAGAGCCCGGTGGAGAAGAGCCCGTCGATGCCAAAGGACCGAAGGGACCGAAGGCCGAGGAGTCTTTTTTCGAGCAGCGATGTCACCACGCCAGGAGGAGCGAGAGCTCCGATTGCAAAGCTTCTTGCAGCGCTTGGAGAAGGTGCCGGAGCTTGTGACGAGTATGGGTGAATTTGCGTGTTGTAATGCAGCAACGCGCTGCGTGTGGCAGGACCTGGCAGAACGTGGCCGCAAGTGGTGCCCCCAGCAAAGCTCTTCGCAGAGCTCATCGAGTGCATTATCTTGTGTCCCCGTACTAGACGGTTGAACACGTCTCTTAACACTGGTCTTCTTCGCAAGATGCTCACGGCATGCCGCCAGAATCTTCACGAACCAAACCATCCAAAACCTGCGTTTCGAAATCCTAACTCCCATAGAAACCGAGATGGGACGGATAATATGTTGACGCCAAGAAGGTCGTGGTAGAATCAGATACGTCCTCGCGGCCCACAGCGCTTCAGCAGAACTGTCTTTGCTTCATCACCACGCGGCATCGCCGTGGCTCGGAGCTTGCGGCAAAGCAATCGAGGACGCCTCTGTTCAAAACTGCAGCGCAGAGACAGTCAAGGGGTCCTTTTGATTCCTGGGCTTCGGTTTGTCTGAACCTGGCGCGCTCTAGGCCAGGCAGACGCCGCGGTCCATGCTGGAAGCCCCCCTGCCCCCCAAGAGCCGCTCGAGACCCAGCCGCGGAAAGGAGAGCGAGTGCTCAGCGAGAGATGCGAGTACCTTCGGCGTATTTTTCCATCAAATCTCCCAAGCGGCCCGGATGGCAAAGACCCACAAAATGCGCGCGACTGCACGTACGGAAATCCAACACTCCCTGCATGCGAGCCCGATGTGATGCCACGTCGTGCTTCAAGTTTGGCCGGCGTACTTGTCAAGCTTGCTTGCCATTACACATGTGGTGATAGTGACAGCTACCACCATGATAAAGTCAAGAGGCTCAGCATGGACAAACTTGCAGCCTGACCTGAAAAACAGGCTCCTGATTGCTGTGGCCAGGAGTCCCGGTAAGGATTGAGGGTTTGGCCGTTCAGGATTAGGCGTTTGTGGTTTGCAGGTGTGAGGGTTTAGAGTTTCGGCTTCGGGTTCGGGAGTGTTGGGGGTTAAGGGCTGCAGCGGGAAATTCCGATTCTTAGTCTTAGGTCCTTGAAGGCGGAGCTCGAAAGATTGGACTGCCTCCTACCTGGCAGCCCTGCCGCATCCAGGTCAGTAATGCTTTCGTTGTGAAACCGGGGCAGAGGGTTCATGAAACCACAGCGATCAAAGTCCAAACAGAACTGAGGATTGCCCAAGCTGAAGGGCAAGAGAAAGAAGAAAAGAAAGAAGAGGCGGCTTCATTATCCGACTAGCGAGGGCTGGAGTCGCTGGGCATGTGTTTCTCAGCGCCAGGAGGAGGAAGAAAGCAAAGCAAGGAACTGTGCTGCTGAGTCGGATTGGATTTGGGACTCTGGCTGCTACCACGTATGCCATCTAGAACTCAGGCCTGCAGCTGAAGAAGCTTTGGACCAGGCGGAGCAGGCAGAGCATGAGCGGGAGGAGGACGAGGACACGATAGTCTTTCGAATTCTTCAGCTGCATGCTGGCCACCCAGCTGGAGTCTGGAAGAGGACGATGATGCCAGGGATGAAGACCTCACACCCGATGAGGACAACTTCGACAGCATCCTTTTTGCTGCAGCAGGGGGTCTAAGGATTTCAGAGCTTCCGCAGCTACCCCGCTCGACTTCCCACTCCCTCGCAGACTTCTGAAGGCTTCTGCATGACCCGCTCAGCCCACCGATGTCTTGTCTAATCTGTGACTTTTCTGGTGCTGTGTCCAAAGCACTCCTCCAGAGAACAGCTTTCGTTACAGCGTGTTCCACCCTGCCAAGCTTCCGTCTGCTGAGGCCTCTGGAGGTCTGCAATTCTTCTGAAGCAATGCAGACCGGGCTTCACAGTCTCTTGTTCTGGCACCCTAAAAATACGGATCAACTACCAGTGACTCGAAGTATATCAGTTGCAGCATGCAGGAGAGCATGCGATTGCCACATGTCAGGCGGCGCTTGCGATTCGCTTTCATCAAGAACAGAATGAAACTCACCGTTTTCAACAGGGTGGCCGACCACACAAAGCACCGGCTGCGTATCAGAGAGAGTCGTTTAAAGAACGCTTGTAGTTTTTTTAGGGGCAGGCTGTGCTGATGCTGGACATCCGCCTGGATTTCACCCGCAAGTGTCAGTTTGCGTTGCAACGGCGAAAGGGCGAAGCCTGGCCGCTCTGCAAACTGCCTTCGGCTCATGGCTCAAGATCTTAATGTGTTGGGCAACGATGGGCAAAGTGCAAAGGTGTTGTACCACGTGTTGATTACTGTATTTATTGGCTTTGTTGCCGGATTCTGTGTCTGGTCAGTGATGCTAGCTGCTAGTCCAAGAAGCCCCACCCGGGATGGCATCTTAGCTCGACTCGCGTTGGGCGCATTGAGAAAACGCCTGAGATTCTTGCCTCTGTCGTGTCCGGGGTGTCCTGGCTCGTCTCTCCAAAGCGGCGGCGACTGAAAGGCTTTCGTACTCGAGGCCTCAACCCGAGAGCACCCAGAGACGCCGGAGCTGAAGCCGCCCTTAAAATGCCCAAGGCCGTAGGCAACAAGCCTGAACCTGCACCTACCGTCGCTAAAATGTGGAAGAGCGCCAAGGTGAGGAAGCAGCGAGAGTGCGCCTGGTCGAAGGCAAGGTCCTCCTGATCATGCTGGCTTCTCTTGAAGGGATTGAAGCCCTGGGCTCTTGCTAGGCACGCCACTGTGCTTTGCTCCGGTCCTGCTGCTTCTACTGCCAGGCAAGGCTTCTACATGTGGCATTGTAGCATCGCCAATCTTCGAGATGAGACATGCCTCCGAGACACAGTCCTACAGCAGAAGCTGAAGTCGAGTCCAAGGCAACGTTCTTTGGCTAGATGCTTGCGCACTGCGAGGATCCGCCGAATCCCTGCTGTCGACGCTGCGCGTCGCTTTCCGAAGCCACATTGTAGGCAGGTTTTGGGAGCAAGGAGCGATTAGGCTAGCGACTAGTGACAAGTAGTTCGTCCGGCATCATCGAACATGCGAGCAGGATCGCCAATTATCCAATCGCCACGCTTCCTTCAGCCATCCTTCGAAGCATTGCGCCTGCAAATGTGGAGATGAAAGCCTTCGATTCCTGTGGCCGCATCTGCTCCAGCGGTATTTGAGACAGAGCATGACTGTCTAAGGCCGCGGGAAGTCCCTAAGACGACATTTGAACCGCAACGCATCTGATGGCATTGCTGCATCACAGTCACGAAAGGACAAGGCAGCAGCATAATGATGTCAGGGAGTTTTGCGGATCCGCAATCTAGACCTACAGGTCCCTCGTCAGTGCTCATGTGCAGCCATGCCCATAACACCCCGACATGAGCATCAAATTTTCCAGGGTTTCAGGAATGCCACGACGCGGCCATGGCATCTGCCTGATAGTGGCCGTGGTGACCTTCGTATCGGCTTGCTGTACCTCAAGAGCCATGCCTAAGCTCATTGCCTTACCTGTGTTTTGGCGACCTGAGACGACTTGAGCTGGCATTCTTAGCACGACCTCTTCACGATCAGAGCAACTGCGCCTGAATTTTAGACTTGCACTTAGAGCAGTGCGGCAATTTCGGGTAGACCATCCCTGAACTTGCAGTTTATTCTACTGTGCTGTAGTTATTTTGGCATTAACGTCTGCTCGACAGGCCGAAAAGGCGGTACTAGTGTCAAAGTCAATTGTGGACACCCAGCCATTATCAGCCATTGCTAGTGTGACTGTCGAGATCATATGTCCAGGCTCTCAGAGCACCCAGCACGCCGGCATGTGCTTGTCTAAGGACCATGCCCGAGAGTGTTTGCCGCCAGCGATTTCAAGGTGGTCCCCATGGAGGGTAAGGCCCGCTCTTGCACTTGTTCAGCATGCCAAACGTTCCTTCAGCATCGGGCGAGGGCTACGGCGTTGTGGCCGGACGGAGTGTCAAAGCTGGTGAGAAACTCTATGAAGAGCCGCCGGCTTTGGTCGTGAACTCGGAGGTGCTGCGAGCGTTTGCGAGCTTCCAATAGGAGTAGGAGTAGGACTTCAATGGTTGACAAACTCACCCCTTGGACCTGCTGGCATTTTGCCAGGACTCTATGCAAGTGCAGCTGTTCCAGACGGTGGCGACCTGGCGGGAACGTCTAGAGAGTCTAGTAGTGGCCATGGTGAGTCTGCTGCAACATGGGTCGTTTTCTGTTTGGTTGTTTGTCGTTGAAGATCCCTGTCAGCCATTCCATCGGTGAGGCTGCGGCCGTGTTCGTCGTGGTCAACGTCTTGCTCGCGATTTTCGGGGCAGGCACTGCGTGGACAGCCTTGCTTAGCAGATGCCGACAATAGACACGGGCAAGATCGGCCACCTCAAAACGAAATCCAGCCCTCTAAAAGCAAGGGCGTCGCAGACCTGGAGGCATTGGCCAAAGCTTCCGTTCCAAGGCGAAATCAGCATTCCGGAAGGTGTTGCGAACGGCCAAACCAGTACGGTACAGCATAGTACAGCCTTGTTGGCAGCAGCAGGATTTCAGATTTCAACTCTCGAATGAAGAAGCTCCAAGCACCCGTGACAATCCGGAATCATCACACCATCTAGGTGTGCCCACCTACTTGGAAACGGTTCTCGAGCCGTGGTACTTACAGGCTTACGGAAGGACTGCTGTTGTGACCTGAGTACAGCACGTGGTGCCGGCCCTTGCGCAGGTCTTGCAGTGCCAATTCTCTGCGGTGCTGGCGGCGTGTATCTCTGGCTCAGGCAGCAGCTGTTCAAGACACATTCGCCACAGGGGTCGCACATGGCAGGGAGATGCAGACAGAGCCGCAGTGGGTTGCGGTTCGTAGGTTTTGCTGATGCCAGGAATTCTGGCGATGATTTGTTGGTTCCCGATGAGCTGAAGGCAAGCCTGGAAGTATCTGGAAGATGTTTCGTCTGTCTGCCTTTCATAATGAGCTTGGTGGTGTTGGAGATTACGATACAGCCGACGATCATGAAGGCTAATTAGCAGCAAGATGCAGTTTCGGCAGACATGACAGGTTCAGTCATGCACACGCCTCATGTTTGTGGACGGCCATGTGGACATGGTAACATAAGCTTAAAGTAGCTCACGTGCAGGGCTTTGTGCTGCGATTCCATGGGTCTTCATGCAAGACTAGTCACAAGCGGCAGGTCTAGGAGTCTAGTTGGCTTGAGGCAGGACTTGCGGTAGGTGTTGCTGGCAGGAGCAATGGGAAGCTCTCCCCGCCGAGAAACGTGCAGCTCTTGCGAGAGACACGGCTGAAGTGTCGAGTTGCCGCAGGAAGTGCTCCCTTCGGGTGTGGGGATACTATTTGTCCTTGCGCGATCCTTTGGTCTAGTGATCCTATAGGTGCCTCACGTCTTGAGCCCGGCAGAAGGGAAGGGAGGGAAGAGGGCACGGAAGGAGGGTTTGATCTTTCATGCCATGTTGCTGAGGGGTTTGGGCTGTAGTGGAAGACGTTGAGAGGCAGTGGCACGTGAAGGTTTGACCCTGCGTTGGTCTGCTCGTTTGGAGTATTGCAGAAGCGGGTTGGAAGGTTTGATCCGTTCGGTGGTTGGGGTTGTTGTCAAACGGGTCCGAAGCCGCTCGTGACGCGTGAAGGTTCGACCGCTTTTCGTGGTGTGTTACTCTGGGGATTGGTGTCGAAGGGTCGGAAGGCACTTGTGGCACATTGTAAAGTTTTAGCACCCACCCCATCACACCCCCTCTCCCGTGTTGCACTGCTGCGGGATCCTGCGGGGGCGTGGGGTGTTGTGGAAGGAGTCTGGACGCAATTGTGGCCTTAAAAGGTTTGACATGGTTTGACGACTTTCCTGCTGCGTTGCTCTCGTGGTTGGGGGTGCCGTGGAAAGTATCGGGAGGCCCTCGTGACATATGAAGGTTGAATCTTTTCGGTGCTGCATCACTCTGGGGGTTTGGGTGTTGTGAGGGGGTCTGTGGGCCACACGGAATGCAAAAGCCAACCGACGCGGCAGCCTGTAGCACCCGACAGCCACTCATATTCCGTTCACTCAGCTAAATAGTAAACACATGTCAACACTGAGAGATAATGAGAGCATCTTAGAACTTAAATATGCAAAAAATATACCCGTTCTGTTGTACATATGTATATTATAGTAGATACTGCCAAACACTAGTCCACTGTACGTATCTATAAACAAGTGCCGAGAAGTTTGTAGACGGATGCTTTCGACTGTGGCGAGAGCGTGACGTCGCTCTGCAATCTGACAAGTACTACCAGACATCCCGAATCAAGCCACAGACAACAGGATAGTAATTGCAACAGCCGAACGACGTCGGTCTGGGGCGTTCTGGAGTCCACAGCATGCGGCAAAAGCTCGATGTGGATTGAAAGGGACTACCGCCAAGTGTCGTGTTGTCTGCATGTCAGGACTTACAACGTAACTGGACGTTCTGCAATTCGCAGCAAGAGGACCACCGAGTTCCCTTCCAACAACAGGACAGTGTAACCCGGTAGCCGAGCACCATCATGTGTGTCGTGTTGTAAGAACAAACTTGGTGTTGCTTAGTGGATCAGGCTTGAGCGACTGCTCAGCTGGAAAGAAGACCCTGCGACTTGACATCATCAGAACCATGCAAATCCAGCACTTTGCAACGGACTACTGTACGCAGAAACTCGATGCGACGCATTGCAACATGTGGCAGTTTCAGCTCAACTGCCAAGGAGTGGGATCATTGACACCAATGCCTTCTCTCGAGGACCGGCACCGGAAGTACTTCAGCTCCAAGCTGTGGAAAGCAGCAAAGCTCTTCATGTTCCAAGGAGCCAGTGCTACTTCGTCGTCTCTCGTGGTATGTCCAACATTGGCCAGGCACTATCTTGTGCCAGCAGACCTGGGGAGAAGGACTTGTCAGGTATGTCCTCCGCTCGCACAGTTGTCGTACCTTTACACTTCGAGGGCGACATGATTTGACCACATGTTGTCACAAAATCAGTTGGAGCACTTGCCAGCAGGGGCAGTGCCAGGCCAGCCTCCGTTGCCCAAGTTTCTCAGCTGGCAGGTTGAACCACTCGTGTTCACCCAACTGCCAGCAGTCCTGGGACGGGACCTCTGGTACTTGGACCGGCATGAGACAGGAGAGTGTGGCAACTTTGGCCACCTGCATATGTCTGGAACATGTCCCGAAGGCAGACAGGTACTGGCAGTAATTGCATTTTACAATGGCCACAGTAGCAGCCGGGGCCAGGGTACATGCGTAATGAGGCCAACTAGGCCCACCATCCAGCGCCCCAACGCTGGAAGAGGCTTTCTTGAACTTTCAACCTGGAATCAGAGCATTTACTTCCTATAATTATTCATGTGTTCCGCAGGGTCTGACCTTCCCGCGAAAAGCTCTGGCGACCCTCTCATGGAGGGCACGGAAGCCTCAGGCACGGAGAAGCTTTATGCGATGTGCGACATTCGCGAAGGAGAGGAGCTTTGCTTGCGCCTTAGGCCTCGTTTGTACGGTCGACACTGGCCGCAATGGCATGAGCTATAGTGGCAAGCTGCTGCAGCTCGGCCCAGGCATCACCTACTGCGACCTCAGGAAACCGCGTGCAGATCGGAAAGAAGAGCTGAGACTGAAGCCGCTTCTTCGAACAAGGTGTGCAACTAGTCGCGTCGCATAGCAACTGCCAACTTATCAGATATGATCCAGAGAAGCATCGTATTGTCAGATGCACGCCTCAATCATGTTATGTCTGTCTAGCAGCTTCTCGTTGCGTAGCATGCTGCCAATGCCAATGCGAAATGGTCGGAACTTGGACTGGTTGAGCTGGCGGTGAGTCTCACTGGCAGAGCTTAAGGTATGGCTTTGACTGCACCTGCCCAGCATGCTCATCCTCGGATTGCTCGCAAAGCGACAAAAACCGGGTGGCTATCGCAAGGCCGCGGATTGCTGTGTGAGCCGATGCGGTAAGAATCGTTGGGCTCAATCATGTGCCCTGACTGATAGGCCCTATCTTTCTTGCGTGGCAGGCTGGAGGAGGAGCTTTGCCGTGAGGGCCCTGCAGACCCTGAGCGTGGCTTGCGCTGTGCAGAGCAGCTTCTGGCAACCATTGACGAAGAAGGCATCCGAAGAGCTCCCTCTTCCACTTTCGGCTTCCCACTGAAGACTGTGTAGTCAAGGGCGACGACACCTGTAGCAGGCCTGTCGGACAAGATGCTTCGAGGTTTGGCCTGCTATGAGGCCTGGACACATAGGACAGGGATTAGAGTGATTAGAGACGTGTATCCTGTCAAGCGATGTGAGATCGGTTAAAGCAGTTTGCTAGGCCATGGAGATGGCTTTGCGCCTTGGCGATGAAGAGGCCGGAACCTTTCAGAGCTCCGCGCTGAAGAAAGCACACTAGTGATTGCTCTCCGCTGGGCTGGGCTGGACTTGGAGCTGACGGACTTCCAGAGATCAATAGGCCTTAATTCTCTCAGACAACGTAGCTTCGTACGCACGCGGAGACGGGTCTTCCCCATAGTGGCTGTAGGACTCTTGAGTTCGGCTGTCTCTTAATCGCCAAGCGCAAGAACGATGAATCCGAGGGCAGAGGGCACGGTGCAGACTCTGCTGCATCACAGAGTGCGGCATCCGAGCCGTCTTTTCGAGTGGCGTGCATATACTGCATATATTGTAGGTGTTTGGTCATCTGCGGTGCATCGGGGGCAAATTTGCCATAGCATGTGCTTGGCGGGCGAGAGTCCGTGCGAGGCTGTGAAAAGCTGGGCAAACAAGGCACGCGATGTGATCACGGGATGTCAGGTGTACTTGTCGCAGGCATTGCTCGTTAATGCAGCGGATTTCCTTCGGGTTGTAGCGTCGGGTCGATGACTGCATGGAGACACTGCAGCTGAAAGTGAGGCGGTTGGAGGAAGTCTCATGCCGTCAGATCAGCACACTGCCGAGCCATTTCGAGCAATGCCGGGGATAATGCTAGAGACCGCAGGCAGAGCTTTACATCAGCCAGGCTGGCTGCATTTCACCCACGGAGCTTTGGTTGTTAGGCCTTGGTCTTGTCCATGATGCCCCGAAGCTTGTTCCACTCAAGACAAGCTTGCTTCTCTAGTTCTTTCATGCAGTGCGCAGTTGTGAACATATGCTGCTGCTTGGGGCAGCTCGCCACAAACTCGAAAGGCTCGTGGTGCGGAGAACGGTCTAGCACAGGAGGCAGCCAAGTGCGGTGAAAGCTCCTCAGCTGAACTGGTTGAGGTGTTGCAGGGCGCGGCGCTTGCAGAATCGAATTTCTTTTCTCGCACAGTTGCAAGCGGGATTCGCCAAGACTGACATGGTGGGATGGCGAGGATAGCACTATCATCTGCAGCATCTGTGTAGTGCACTGGTTTCGTAGTGCTGCACCCGACAGCATCTGAGGCCCAAAGCAGCATCCTCTGTGGGCTGAGAAAGCAGCAGCCTCCTCGCTGGGGTAAAAAAGCAAGAAAAACGGCATGGCGCGTTGGTGTCAGCATCTTCCATAGATTCCCATATTCCCATAGATGTGGGAATGATATGACATCAACATCGATGTGGAGGCCTGGGACGGAGCAACTTGTACGTGGCCTTGGCAGCGCAGAATGGCAAGGAGAAGGTTCCGCACGTTCGGACTTCAAGCATGCAGTTCTGGAGCTAAGTGCAGCAGACTCGACCGTCTGCAGCATCGAAAGTGTTTTTCGAGTTGCCTGGAAGTTGCGGTGCAGAATGTCGCTGTGTGTTGGTTAGCTGTGTGCTGGTCTTCGTGAAGTTTGGATGCGGCTGCCTGATTCGCTCCTCACCCTGCCTGTGATGTCTTGCACCGTGGTGTTTGTTCGACGCCCCACGCGGCCTAGCTGCCCCGGCTCCAGCCGCCCGCCCGCAGCCACTCACGGGTTGGGTGCTCCCAAAATGTATGATTGAATTCCAAGTTGCCCGCCATCAAACTGCGTATGAAGTAACGAATGTTCTGGAAAGACTGAGCGAACCTGAAGGTTTGTTGAAGTTCCTGGATCCCAACCATCTTTCCCGTTCCCAGGACGAATCAGATCAGACGAAAAGGAGTTTGAATCTTCACGGTATTTTTTTGCTGGTGCGATTTATTCGTTTCACAGCGACAACCAACTGAACCCCAGGAACCCCGTTATCTGCACGCTGTTGCCCGGAATCATCCGGAATCCATATTGTCTGACACGTGCATCGGAGAATGTGGCCCGCAGGTAAAAGCCTCAGCCAGAGCTTACCGTTCTGTTCAATCTTTTGGAGAATGTAGAGGAATTTGATAGCATTGAGAATTCCATCCGAAATCGCGCGAGGATTCGGAATCATGTGGTGGCCGGGGGCTGGCTGGAGGGCGGCTGGGCTAGAGGGCTGGTGCAAGGCCCCCCTGGTATGTTCGGGCCGTATTCATGTGCCGAGCTCTGCCGAGATAGCCTAAGGAAAAGCAATTAGCTATCTCCATATCTGGGTAGGTAGATTGCCCATGACCCATCTTCCGGGTAGAATGCCTGTGTGGGAGTTGCTGTGTTGGAGCTCGCCAGATAAACATGCAGAAGTTCGCACGCCTGTCCAACGCGTTCAAGATGCTCCAAGACAAGAGGCAGGCTCTATGCATGTCGGATGCCGCTTGTAGTCAGCTTTACATCAGTGCCATGGCTGCAGTCCGTGGAGTAGGAAACCCGTAAGCCCCTCCGCAACCACTCGTGAGGCAGATTGATAAATTTGTCAACTTGCGGAAGCTGAAGCAGGGCGTCAACAAAAGATGAGCCAATACGTTAAATCGTTTCACCAAACAAACGAGCGTCAACTCAACCCATGAGCCGAAAACAGTTGATTTCAATTTATCATTATTTACGACATATTCTGAGCCTGCCATAATACTCTTGACTCTCCCTCATTCTGTGACCCCCTATACTAATACTATTTTCAGAATCTAAACCAACAAGATTCTCATATACATGTTACATCAACTAGAAACAGATAAGATATATACAATTATACATATATATATATATGTATAAGAATATATGTTATATTATATAGATACATGTATTTTTAATCTACGACAATACTATATTATATTTAGATTTATATATTTGATAATTATCTCAGAGATTCTAATTTCTTTGACAGCATTTCCTCTAAATTTCTGGGACATTTAGGGGCTCGGGAGAGCTTTGCGAATGTGTCTCCCAACGCTGTAAATTTCTCGGAAATTTAGAGCCGTGGGAGTTGGTTTCGAGGCGTTGTCCTTGCACGCGACTTGGGGGAGCATGGCGCCTTTAAGTTTCTCGGAAATTTAGAGTCTCGGGCTTGCTGTCCTGTTCGGCTTCTAAATTTTCGGGAAATTATGGAAATCCATTCTCTAAACTTGAAAATTCAGACACCCTGAATTTCTAGAAAATCTAGAGAATGGATGTAGTGTGCTTCCAAGCTTCACTTCATGTCCTCGTGCGCGCCGTTTGCAGAGAACCAATTTTCACTTTATATCCTTGTATGCGAAGTTTGCAGAGAATCTGGCGAAATCTGGCTCCATGAAGCACGGATGGAACAAGCAACTAATGATGGCAACTTGTTCACGCATAGTGTAGTGTACCGAGAAGTCTTTTCTCCGGAGATACGGGTTTGAGCATTGCAGCAAGGCGCAACTGAGCAATATTCCAGTGCCGGAGAGGGACGGAGAGGGACGGAGGGAGATGATGGAGGGAGAAAGGGAGGAGGAGTGGCGGGTTGGAGTGAAAGAAACGGCACGGGGGGGCCGGGAAGGGAAGGGACGGGAGACGGAGCGGATGGATGGGAGAGGATGGACGGAGGTTGGCGGGAGGCGGAGGGGATGGGACGGTGGGGATGAGACGGTGCGGACAGGATGGGCGGGATCGAGATGGGACGGAGGGGGGAGGGAAGAGTGGGAAGAGGGGACGGCGGGGAAGGGACGGGACGATATGGAGGAGATGGGACGGAGGGGATGAGATTGGGGGAGATGGTATAAAGACCATGGCCGTTAGGTGGTGGAGGAGGATGGAGATGGGGGATGAAAGAGGTAGGTGGAGATAGATAAGAAGAAGAGGAGAAAGAGATGGAAGAATTAGATGAGGGAGGGCGATTGGAAGGAGAATATGGAGTGAGAAGATAGATGAGGAATACGAGGAGGAATTAGAGAATTTGCGGTAAATGAGGCGGCTGGAACAGAAAAAAAATGATAGAAAGAAGATAAATTGGGAGGTGAAATGATTCTAATTTTAATTTTCATAAATTTCGAACAAATTGAAAATAGCGGCTTTAATTTTATTTTCTAAATATATGGTCTACTTGTGATTAATTTCTATTCTTAATTCTATAAAATATGAATATAATAGATAATTAATGAATTAAATATATATTTTATAGAATAAATATTATTTTCTATCTCTTTTTAATTATGGCTCTATCGATATCTCTATATTTATAATCCTATTCTTTATATCTTATTCTTTTATTATGCAAGATTAATAATAGCATGAGGGGAGTGGGGACAAGATTCCGTTATTATCTTCGATTTCGATTCGTGTCTCGTTTCCATCCTTAATATTATTACCATTATCACGATTATTAATTTCTATTAATATATTATGGTCGTTAAAATTCTTATTTATTTTGTTTTTGGAGTGCGACGGTAAGGAAAAATGATTAATAGATCTAATGATCTAAATCGAAACCTATGAGGCTTTATAATTCGTTATTATAATACCTCTTTCTCTATTTCTGACTCTCTCTTTCTAGATCTGTCTGTATATCTCGCTCTCTCTCCCTCTTTCTTTGCCTCTCTGTAATTCTTTCTTTCGCTCTTTCTTTCTCTCTCTCTCTATCTCTCTGTATTTCTCTCTATTTCTATCTCTCTCTATCTCTTTTTTTCTCTCTCTATATCTCTCTATCTCTCTATCTTTTTATATCTCTTTCTCTATATCTCTCTTCCTATCTCATTGATTCTCTTGCTCTCTATCTCTCCCTATCTTTCTAAATCTGCTTCTGAATCTATCTCCCTGTTTCTATCTCTCTCTTTCTCTCTCTCTGTCTCTTTCTATTTATCCATCTCTTTATGTCGTTCTCTAGATCTTTATATCTATATCTCTCTCTTTCTTTCTCTCTCTGCGATTCTTTATCTCTCGACATCTTTCTCTATTTCTATATCTTTATCTCTTTTTCTCTATCTCTATCTCTATATCTCTTTCTCTCTATATCTAAATCTCTATATCTCTATCTATATCTTTATATCTCTTCTCTCTTTATTTCTCTTTCTCTAGATCTCTCTATTTTTTTCTCTCCCTTTCTATCTTTCTATCTATCTATAAGAAGATATTTTTCTCCGCTTCGTCGTGTTGCTAGAAATTTTATCTTTATCGTCGACTACTCGCTATTTGAAAATAACGGTTCTATTCTTTGCTGCCACTTATATAGATGGCGCATAGCTCGGTGCCTCTTGCTATATTTAAGCGACAGAATTCCTGGATGCCGGGAGCAGATTAATTTGCTAGTTGTATAGGTTCCAGAGAATATTATTATTTCAATAAATTCAAGCGACTTCCCAAAATAGCTAGAGATAGATATTTCTATTTCAAAGATTCTTGGAGCTTCGTCTGTTGTTGAATAATTTCTAGCGTTCTTTTAAGATCTCTTGTTTTTATTACGCCTTTCACTCAATTATTAATAGCTCTGAGCAATTAAAATAACAAATAATATAAATACGAATCTATTTTATTTATAATTTCACGAATATATCTTATAAAATATAAGTAGATTTATATCGTTCGCCGACCAGCCATTTTTAGAATCAACGGATCCATTCAAATATATATATATATAGATATAATCTAATGATTTCGCATATTCTATTTAAATATTGAATCTATGAGTAGAAGATTGAAATTGTGTTTAAATTTTTTTCTATATATTTTCAAAATATCATATTTTAATATATATATATTATAAATTATATATCTCTAAATTATTTAATTTATTAGAATATAGAATATCGATGAAAAAGAAATATTATTAATTTCAAATTTGATCTATAATTCCAAAATTTTAGAATACGAATAGGAAATTATATTTGTAAATATTTCCTAAAGAAATTTCTTATGGAATACCTAGTCCCACAGATTTCCGTGAGAATCCTTACAGTGTCCAACTCCAATAAGAATCCCTAGAGTGTCCAATCTCACAAAGGACTCCTGATCTTTGAGGAGAGGAGTTTATCTAATTCATAAATTAGAATCTATTTCTATTCTCTTATATATTTCGGTAATCTGCGATTTGAAAAATCATTTCTTATAAAAAAATAAATCGCGATATTCTATTTATTATAAATATTGAATTTATCGGCGAGATATTGCAAATTATATTATTTTATCATCTCGATATATATAATTTAAAATTAATGATATTTTCGAACAAATTCGACAATTATATATCTTAATAATTTCTA